AGAAAATTGCTAATAATTAGTGGTTTTTTTTTAAGAAAATATCTATTCTATAAATGAAGAAATTATATAATTATATTTACTAAAAAAATCAAAATTATTATATAATCAAGCCATGCTAAGTCTTGTTTTTTTACATTTTTATCATTACATTTTATTTAATTATTAGAAAAAGATTTGTTTTATTATTGTTTAAATCATTTTTTCTTATAAGAACAGTTTAGAAAAATTTTGTTATCATTATTCTTCGAGAATCAATGACAGAATATATCAAACATTTTTATAACATATAAGATATAAGTTAAATAATTAAATTTTCCTTACATTAGCGTTATTATCTTGTAGATATTAACAGTGTGAGAAGTTGAAACAAAGATTCTACTATGGCGGAATCTTTAGAACAGATGCCAAAATCCGACACTATAAGACTTCGGGAACGTTACATCGGGTAAGTTATGTTTAGACTAGAAAATATTTCAGTACGGTTCCATATGATTAAAATATCGAATTTTCAATGGATCAGGTTTTAGGTTTCGGTTTCTTGATTGAATGAATAGAGATTTATTCAGATCAAAACGAAACGTCAAAACAGAAAATCGTCCCTTTTTTAGTTGAATTTTTTTTTGGTTGAATCAGAACTGTACAATAAAATTCCACAAAATTTATAATCGACTTCATAACTGAACCAACTAAACAATAAAATTTTCATTTTACGATTTTTTTCCATTCTTAATGTATAATTGTTATTACTTTTATTATATCATTTCTATTTACATTTTCTTCTCATACAAAATGCAGATCGTTTTTTAGCCGAAACATTTTTTAAACAATATAAGAGAGTGTAAATAAAGAAATTATTGTTATAATAATTTATTTTGATTTTAGACAATCGTGCAAGCTGTTTTACAAATCAAATCCATTGAAAATCGTCAAGGCTGAAGGACAATACATGTACGATGAGAAGGGTAATCGATATTTGGACTGCATAAATAATGTTGCGCACGGTACGCACTTTTTCATTCTTAAAATTTTGAAATAATTCAACATCGATAAATTCTATTGAATTTAATGATGTTGACATGACATGGATTTTTATATGGCATAATTTTTAATCATCTCAATTTGACTCCTTTACAGTCGGTCACTGTCATCCGAACGTCGTGCGAGCTGGACAAGAACAAATGGCCTTATTGTCCACGAACAATCGTTTTCTTCATGACAACTTGGTGATTTGTGCCAGTCGACTGGCGTCACTTCTGCCAGAACCATTGTCCGTTTGTTTCCTGGTGAATTCCGGGAGTGAAGCTAACGATCTTGCTCTTCGTCTCGCTCAGACGCATACGAAAAACAAGGACGTCATCACGTTGGACCAGTAAGTTCTCTTCTGTCCAGATTGTCCGAATTTATGCTCTGTATATGCGATATTTCTGTAACATTCTATTATTGAGTTCCACGCGCTACGTTACGAAAGTATCGTCGGTTAACGAGACGAATATGGAATGAACTTCCGTTGTTCCGTCGTTTCGGGTCTTCTCGACACAAGCGATTCCGCATATGTGTCTGGCTCAGTTGGATATTTCAGGCTGCGAACAAACACGAAAATTCAACCGAACTAATGAGACCGATTTTTCTTTGGTTGTTTACAGCCTCTAAATCGACAGGGGCACGAGCGTCGCTTTTGGAGCCAGTCTTGCTCATGCATGCCGGCAAATCCGGGCAAATCGGATGTGGACATCCGATTCTTTTCACCATGGCGGAAATAGAATTCACCGCCATAAAGATCTTGCTCGCTGTTTTAGGTGGCGTAAGTCTCACGACGACATACGTGCCAATATATATGACAAATATATTTATTTTCTCCTTCTATCGGTGAGGACGATGTCGCTGAATATTGGACTGGACTTATCCGAGAGAGAGAGAAAGATAGATAGAGAGAAAGAGAATGACGCTAGACAATGGTTCGAGTGAAAATGTAAGATTAGAAAAATAAAGCGAGATCACATGTAGCACGTAAACGTAAAACGGCTTTGTTAAATTTGAATAGTGATTCTAAAAGTACACAAAATTGAAGAAGACAGCAACTATACTAACACATGGTATGGAATTAGAAAATTGATAACGATAACGACGCGTTATGCAACTATCTCAATTATCAAAATGCTGTGGACTTTGCGCTTTATCTTTCTATCGACGTTAATAGCTCAAGAAACATCGAGTACGCACGAATTAATAATTATTTCACATCTTTGCTCGAGTTTATAAATGAGTAGTTTTTATAGCGACTAGGGACAGATATTCGTATGGATACGTGCGAATATCGTAGCCATGTGGGATCATTGAGCGTCTTCGGCATCAATGGAAAAGAGCTAAAAATAAAGTTACAATTTCAGGAACTGCTTTTATCAAATAAAATACTTATACTTATTAAATAAGATGATAATCTATCATTCTTAGAGGGCTAGCCTTTCAGGGTTTCGAAGAAGTTTAAATTTCGACGAGCATAACGGCCAGAGAAGAAATTTCTGCTCACGTTTATCTTTCTGCTTTTAGCGCTTATCATGGACATTTGACCACGATAATCGATATCTCACCATACAAATTCAACAAGCCTAACGGTACCGGCAAGAAGGACTGGGTGCATGTGGTAAAGTATCCTAAATGATACTGATG